TATGAATTATAAATTTCGCATATTTTATTTTTAATTATATATTCAAATTATTTTCAGAACAAAAAAAAATATATATATATATATATATACATAAAAAGAGAATACAATGCAACAATAATTCTTAGAGAATAAGGGTGGGAAATAAATGAGGATAAGGGGAGGTAAAGGGGGATAAAAGAAAGCGCCTGATCTGTCCTCGTTTATCGGGTCCGGTCAGTGAGTTAAAGCAGAATGATTCGATTAAACGTAAATTCTTTTTAATAACTAACAGATAATTCATTTATTGTCCTATCGATACAAGGTCAGACCAACTTCGATCGGTCGAATTATTTTATTCCTATGATACAATTCTTTCTTATGGCATTTGTCATGGTGTATGTGTGAGCGTGTGCGTGCATATGCAATTGTATATCTTTCTCTTTCTTTCTTTCTTTTAAAATTTGTCACACGAACGGGGAGGAAACATGGGGGGGAAGAATGAGAGATTTAAAACTCAATCAGACTCTCAGATTGAATCACTATACTTTGATGAACGATCGAAACTGAAAACGGCACCCAATAAACTTCCTCGAGATTAATGTGTCATGCCTAGACAACCATGATTTTTGACCATTTTACGATCCCCGACACTTCTACAGACTTTTATTTACTTTGTTTTCTTTTTTTCCTCCTCCTCCTCCTCCTCCTCCTTCGAACAATTGATCTATTTTTAATTGTTCAACGTTTTTGCGAAATTGCATTGGGTTTATTAGATGCATCGAAGTTTTCATTTGCACGCGTTGACAAATTTGTTTTATTCGTGGTATGTACAGAGATTAATAAACAAAAAAAATACTGATGTGTGTACTTATGTATGCACGTAAGAAGTTATACTTCTTTAGCGTACCAAAACGAACATAACCTCAAAAATAACTTCAATTTTCCCGCGCATCGTAAATATCGACAACTTCGTGGTATCGATTTTTCGGTCGCATCTAACCTCACTTTCCAAAACGCGCCAAAAGAAGTATAACTTCAAAAAAAAATATGAACAATTAAATAAATAAATGAGGACAAATATAAAGGAACAGGTAAAACAAGTCGTGTGCACTCTTACAAACTAATTATCACGGATAACTTGCTATTAAAGTGTTTAGATTTTAAAAAGAGGTTATAGGATATCGCAAGAACTATGATACACATAAGCTATATTATCTATATATATGCAAGGTATCTTAATAGCTGTCCTTCGTTTAAACATACCTATTTTTACCACATATAGGACTCGAACGATTTTTTTTTCTTTTTGTAAGAAAATATTACGAACATTCTAACAGAAATTGATGTGTTCCCTCGATGAAACAAAAATTCTGCACTTTATTCTTATTTTTACATTGGAATTTAATAAAAGTATTTGTTTGATTAATATTATTCTCTTGTATATAGTTAATTAGTAAATGAAAATTTGTATTCGTTATAGTATTTTTATCTTACTTTTTTTTTTCTTTCTTTTTTCTTTTCTATTTTCCTTCCTAAGTATTTCCGATAATATTACGACTAATTACATTTTATCTCGAACTTGAACGTTCTTCGTTTATATTTGGTCGGGTTGGTATAATTACACGCTTCGGTATTAAAATTTTCTGACCACCCACGATGCATATTATCGTACAGATACATTTCAATCTTATACGAATGCATATATCTCGATGAGAGACCACCTACATTGCAATTATTAAAATGTTACGTTTCAATCTAAATCATTCATCAGATTATTCATAAATGTTATTAAATAATGTATAATACATACTTGGGTTGTGTGTCGTTGAGTTTAATGAAAAATTAATAAATAATAAATTTACGAATCATTTATCAAAGTCTAGGATAACATAATTAATCTTACATTTAATTTCGCAAAACAAATTTATAAATAATCAATTAAATCATTCTCGTGTGTTGAGAGATGTTAAATGCAAAAATTATTTCATATGAAAATAAATACATTTCTAATTGACATTTATATCAAATTCTATATAACAACGTTATTTCGTGTGTATGCATTTCAAGAGTCATGTTGTTGTTATTGATAACGCATTCACTTCCGTAAAAGCTTATGCATGTTATATCCAGTACATATAGATTGTATTGGTTTTACATGTATTGATTAGTTGCTTGATCAAAGTTAAGTAAGTATTTACATACTTGTAAGTATGCCTGCGTGGTTGCATGTTTATCGAACGTTGACTTCGTTCAACTAAGTAGGAATTTACTATACATATACATAATATTTATACCTTTTAACAATGTTAATACATTATAATATATCTTAATATAATCAAAAACCTATATTAATTTATTAAATGATATTATTTATAAGTATAAGATAACGAGAGATAAGAAGAAAATTTCTCAAAAACCAATTAAACCAAATTAAACCAAATTAAACCAAAAAAAAAATGAAAAACAATAAATTATTACCAAACCTACATATTAAAAA